GCGTCGTTTAACCGCTGTGACACGCGTCTGCAAGTACGAGCATTACTGTAGATGGCATTTAATCCTGTACCGCGCCTCCGAGGAAGGCAAACAGCCCCTACGCACCAACCCTGCTGCAGAGTCCTGTGCCCTGCAAGTAACCAGGGCTGCCAGAGCCCAGCAGAGGTGGTGAAAAGTACCGCACATGGAGAATACACTTCACGACAGGTAGACTCAGCAGTTAGGCTTCTTATGCCATAACATTTTATAAATTCATCCTAAAATTAATTTATAATGGCCATCCTCTTGTGGTCAGTGGAAAAATGCATATTAGGTGTACAAAGATAAAGTAATACCACGACAAGTGTATCTTATCTTGGCTTTTAAACCCAATAGCTAAATAACTAAGTTTCGAGGTAACATCCTCGAAAGCACTTCAGTTACATAGGAACCTAATGTCAGCTTTACATTTAGATAGATGTGAATCAGGGTTCAGAGTGCCAGGGTGACCATCTCAGGCTTTTTTCTTCTCCCTCTAAACTACCACGAATAAGAGTTGGAGATCCAACATAAAGCAGAGTTAGTTAAGGCAAGTAAAAGAGCTGCGTGGGAGAATAAGAGAAAATCACCTCTTGAGAATAGACTTGTGAAAAGAGTCTTAGCCAAATGCATGGAAGATTTGAGGTCTGCTTTCCTGCTAGTCATGTCTTGAGTCAAATGAGATAGAACCAGCGGGAAATATTGTGAAAGCTACATCCCAGTCTAGCCAGCATCCTCGTGGTTCATCTACTTAGTCACTTAGCTGTAGGAGACATCGGTTAACTGCAGAAGGTCTCAAAGCAAAGCCTCTTATCTAACAACGCCTTTTATTTGATGTGTTGTTTCTCTCTTACTTTCCTGTTGGGACTGGTTGTCTTCTCTGAATGAACTCTTCCTAGTCCCAAGGATGGTTGATTGCACATGTTTGTAGTAATGTCTCGAAGCTGACACATGCAGTACCAAGACCCTAGTCTTTGCAGATGGTGAGTCAGACGCATTCATTGGGAGCTTTTGGCAGTTTTGTGGTGGGACAGGCTTAACGGCTTCTTCTAGAGCTGTTCTCTGTTGGCATAGGAAGTGCTGATACCACAAGCCCCTGGGACTGGACCTACTGAACAGATCCAGAAGCCAAAGGAGCCCTCTGAAAAGCTGCTGGTAAATCAGAGCCACTGGCTGCACACCACTGCCCGTTTGCTGGCTATTGGTAGCCACTGGCAGGTGTTCAGGCTGGGAGATGCCCTAGGAGCTGAACATTTAAGTCACACTGAATGTGATTTACAGGGAGAGGAGAAATTTCTCTCTGGTATAGATAATAAGTGATGCAGATACCCACAAATGAAAATGCAGTTAATTATCTTTTTGCCTTTCCAATCATATATGGATCCAGTGCTGCTCTGCTTTCTTTTCCTACAGGGAAGGTATCAGATGTGCTGCCTCTGTGGGCATCAGTGTCATCTCTTCTGATCTGTTGGGCAGAATCAGCCACCCTGATCCTCTGAGGCTGAACCTAAGTCAGCAGAGTTTTGCCTTGCCTTCCACTGCTACAAATGAGAAAATAACCTTTTATTTGAGGATTAAGCTTAGTTGATTCACAGAGGTGTAGCATTTGCAAATAATTAAAACTGGATTTTGGTACAGAAGAGCACAGTGTGCTGCTGTAGTTTTTGAAGCCTTTTCTGTCTTCCCATTTACACTGGGACTGACAAATAGCCATCCATAATCTCTTCAGAACAGTCGTCAGTGCCTGGGCTTGCTCCAAGTGTACCCGTTATTTTCAAGAGGGAGGCTGTCCCCATGTGGGGTGGTTTAACCACAGGTAGACCATGTGCTTCTGCACTCACTCCCCCCACCCAGTGAGATGGGAAGGGAATCACAACAAAGGGGGCACAAAATAGGATGAAGGACAGGGAGGGCTCACTCACCAGTTATGGTCACAGGCAAAACAGACTCAACCTGGGGAAGAAAAATTAATTTAATCTGTTGCCATTCACACAAGTAACACAGTGAGACACAACAACCCCATCTTAAGACACCTTCCCCCACCCCTCCCTTCTTCCCGGGCTCAAATCACTTTGCTCCCAATTTCTCTACCTTCTTCCCCGGTGGCACAGGGGGCAGGGAATGGGGGTTCAGTCAGTTCTCCATTGACACTCTTCCCAGTATGAAAGCCCAGGAACAAGATGTTCCAATGTGAGCTTCCCACGGAGTCATGGACCTCTCTGGGCTCTGCTCCCAGCGCCGGCATGGGGACATCCATGGGCTGCAGATGGCCCTCTGGTCCCGCACACCTCCTCACCCCTGGCTATGGGCATCCACCCCCACTCTGGCATTGACCGTCTCTTGGGGTCTCAATTCAGTCACACTTTCCCTTGGGTTCAGCTTTTCTGCTCCAGTGTGGAGTCCTCCATCGACTGCACGTGGGTCTCTGCTCCATCATTGAACCTCCATGGAATGCAGGGACCTCCTTTGCCTTCTCCTACTCCATGCAGTTGAACTGGGTGTCTGAGGTTCTCTGTCCTCACCCTCCTCCTCTTTCCTCCTGGCAACGAAGCTCTCTCTTTGTTTAGGCCGATGGTCGTCTTTTGTTCAGGCCAATGGCCTCTCCTCCAGGTTCTCTCCACCTTCTTCTTTTCAGGACAGTCCTTCCCCTCACAAATACGGATTTGCAGAGGCATTTCTCTAGTGCTCATTGGCTCAGCCTGGGCTGGGGGCAGGGGGGAAGCCTTGGAGCCAGGCTTCTCACAAGGTAGCCCCTTCCCCCACTACCAAAAACAGTCCCCCCACACGCAAACCCAACACACCATGTCATACTCTACTATAAGAAAGGATGAACAGTTTTCCCTGTATTCATCTGATCAATGTTTTAGTTGCCTTTATCCATCCTTCTGCATCCATCAGTTGTCAGTACAGTGAATTACCTTTCTTTGTCAATGCACAATAAGGCATTTGAATGTGGCAAGTAATTTAATCCACACCTGAAAACACTGGCAAAGAAGTTGCAGGTTGACTTAAAAATATTAGAAATGCTTCAATCAAGAATCTCTTCTTCCTTGAAGGTGAAATAATTCTTGTATTTAGGCACTAAGGACTTTTCACATATTGTCCTTTCACTCACACAAAAACGCAACAAATCAAATGCATACTCAGGCACAGTATCAGACCAGAATTTTAAGGTTTTTTGCTAGTGGAAATCACTCTTTATTTAAAGCGTATTTAGTTCGTCATCGTACTACCCAGTGTCTTCAAACCCACTGGATTTTATTATCCATGTTAGCTTACTAATTTATTTCCAGCATTTTTCTCGAAATCTGTAAGAATTATTCATTTCTTTTTATATCAAAGAGCATTTTTATTTTCATTTGCCTCGCAGCTTGAATGTTGTTGTGTGCGTTTACAAGGGAAAATTCCTTCCTAGTTACTTTGATCCAGGACCACTTCTCAGAGTTCAGAGCTTGATTTCTCAAGGACCAGAAGAAAGAAGGAGGGTCTGGTGTTGCTTAGATGTGCTAAGCTTTGCAGCTCTGAGGACCCTCGTCTCTTGGCGATTAGCACTCAGCCTCTAGCACCTCATAGCTGGTAAAGATGGGATTCAAGTAAATTATTAACTGTTGGTTACGGTGGCTTGGTTTGCACAACATTTGACGTTAAAACTGGCCCTTACTCCATCTGTGTGCTTTGGAGCAAGACCAGGAACTAAATTTAGCCGGTCCTGGCTGCAGGGTGAGCGTAGCTGTCGGTGCTGCCTGCTCGCTGCCACCCGCTTTCTTTATCGGTTTACAAAGAGGGGAGCTTCCTGTTGGTTTTCAGACTTTTTGAATGATATTGGACAGGTTTGTTCTGCTCTTCTCATGATTATTTAGATGTGAGTGCAGCACTGCCTGGCTTCTTAGGCTTTTTTGGTTGTGGATAAATGCTGCGCGGCAGGGCAAGCAGCTACTCAGTTTAGCCAAAGAGCTGCAAAAAAAAGACAAGTCGAAGTTCTTACCGGCTTTTTAGTATTTAAGCCTCTAAAGTAACTGGATACCAGCTTTTAAGTTTTTCTTCTCTCTTCTAGAAACTTGATGCTTTTTAAGAATAGAGTCAGAAATCTCACTCCAGGCACCGGAGGCTCCAGCCACCAATATTGGGTGACCTGCATTAGGAGTGAGGACTTCAATATTGCTGACTTTCAGTGTTTTTCTAGATAGCAGCAGCAGGGTAGCAAAAAGGGCTTATGCCAGCTCTGTGTCACCAAGGAGTCCTCTCTGATCCAGTCCAACTAGCTGTACAACGTGTCTGAAGAGGACAAAGTCACCTTCTCAGCTGCATTCTGATCATATATCCAAACGTTATAGCTTGTCAGACTAGATTACATTTGTATCTTCTTGTCTACAATGGTAATTTTGTTCATTAATTTCCCTCTTTCTTTGACAAAAAGAGCTAATTTAATACTTACATTTTAAAGATGCAGAACTTTTGAATTGGTAAATTTTGAGATAATTTCAGCGCCGTACTGAAAATACTAGTTTTTCAGAACAGACATAATGAGGTGTTATGAGATAATTTCAGCGCCGTACTGAAAATACTGGTTTTTGTCCCAGAACAGACATAATGAGGTGTTTCCAACTCTGACATTGCAGGAAACGATTTGTAAAAGAGAAATTCCTTTCAACATCTGCTACAGTTATCAGTGATGAAGTGACAACTGAAAAAGCAACACGATAAGAATCCCTCGCTGCAGCCTTTCCAAGTGAGAAAGGGTGTTGGCTGTAGGGTCAAGTCAGAGCAGTGCTGCACGCACAGTGAGGAAAAATCACGCAGGAAATAAGGCAGTTATCTGCCTTTTTATAACTTGGGCAATGTTCTTCTGTTTCTCCAGCAATGCAATCGGTCCCCTCGTTGCGCTCTGGCTCATCTACGAGCAAGGTGGTGTAATGCAAGAAGCATCGACTCCCGTCTGGCTGCTGTTTTATGGAGGTGTTGGGATCTGTGTCGGTCTCTGGGTCTGGGGTAGAAGAGTTATCCAGACCATGGGTAAAGACCTCACTCCAATCACACCATCAAGGTAGGCGCGCAGTTGTCATTATGATTGTGTGAACTTTGTGCGTGAACCAGTCTGAGAAATTGCTGTTCCAGTATTTTGTTTGTAATGCAGTTTGCTGGATTTGCTGTGCTTTGATTTTAATGATAACCTGGCTTCGACTTCTCCATCTTTCTAAAAAATGAAAGAAAAAAAAGAGGAGAAAAAAAGGAGAGAAAGAAAGAATGAGAAAAAGAAAGAGAACCGAAGAAAGGGAAAAACAATAACCCTGTAAACTAATACTGAATGCATTTGAGGCCTAGAGGTGAACGGTCTTCTGCTGATGACCTAATTAATGGGGCAGAAGGTGCATTTGGAAATGGCAAGATTACAGTGGCTTTCCCAGTGCGCTTCAGACTATTAAAACCATATGTATTTATTACAGTAATTTTCATCCTTAATGCATACTCGACCTCTGCTGGTGCTTAACTGAATTACTAATTAGGCATGATTCACTGCAGCGTAGAGTAGTAAAAGTCCCTGATGCAATGAGCCGCGCAGCCAGGTTGCTACAGACGACTAGCCTGTGCCGTTCCCATTATTCAGCTCTTCCTTGTTCTCTTAACTTATTCCTATGACGAAAATCAGTCGGAGATAAAACAGTCGAAAGAAGAAACGGGTAAGACTTTGGCACGCTGCATGGTATCAGTCCGAGCTGATGCAAAGAGTGATTGTGAAGTGTTTTCTTATGCTTCCCGCAGTGGATTCACTATTGAGTTGGCTTCGGCGTTCACAGTTGTGGTAGCTTCCAATGTTGGACTTCCTGTCAGTACTACACACTGCAAGGTATGCCTTTGCCCAGCGACTGCAGTCAAGGCAGTCTGGACTATTCATCTTAAAAATGTGACGCTCGAGCCAGCGGATAATGGCACAGCAAGAGGAAAACAGCCGCTCACTGATGATGGTTAGGTGGAGGTGTGTCAGCGCGTCTCAGTCGTGCCAGCAACACTGGAAAATAATCAGGCTTCCAAAAAAATGCATTGGAGTTGTCACAGTCAAGTCGCTGCAGTTGGGCGCAGCGTGAACTCCATAGCTGTGGTTAAAGAAAAGCAGCACTTACAAACATGTGACTTCAATTTCAAAGCAAACGATTTCAGGGAAGAACCTGGTTTCCTCCAACGGTGCCATTTGAACCTGGTCGGGTAGCATTTCTCCCTTGTTCAGAGGCTGCGCACCACTCATCATTTATACTTCACTGTCTTGATAAGTGCATGGCATGGGATTTCCTGCATATAACTCTGTTACTACAGGTTTTCCATCTGTCTTTTTTTTTTTTTTTTTTTTTTTATTTCTTCACAGTGGATTTTGCATTGAAGTAATGTGTGCGCTAACGGTACTTGTAGCCTCAAATGTGGGTATTCCAATAAGCTCCACCCATTGCAAGGTATTGGAGTTTGCAGTGATCACATCAGTAAATCACATCACTAGGACAAACCATAACAAAATATGAGAGATACCAATTGTTGCAGATTGCCTTCACTATGCGATGTGCCCTGCAGACAGCAATAGCAAAATAACAAGGACTGCTTCTAAAGCCGGTACGGCTAAGCAAAGTCAGTGTTATAAGTAATTGCACAAAAGTCTGGAACATCTTTCACCCTTATGTGATTGTATTGAACTAATATAGTCATATTAATATAATATAGACTCGTAGCTTTGTGTGATCCTGGTTAGAGCCACCTGTATGAAAAACACCGCTACATCCTTACGCTAATATTTTAATGTCTCTCTTCTTTTAAATCAACTTGTCCTCACTTTTGTGCATTATAATACAGAATCTGGCCCTTGTAATTAGTTCTTTGAACAAAGTTGTTGGCTTTTTTTTTTTTTTAAAAAAAGACCAGTTTGAAGTATAAATATAGGCTGGGTAATGAGCAGGATTTAATTGTATCATATGATACGCTGTGTGAGAAGACACTTATATTGCTTGTAGGCAACAGGGAGCATGTGGACATTTACACTGCTGAAAGAACATAGTGGGAATTTGGAATTTCGTTCCCCAGGAAATTTCCAGGGCAAATATCCCGTCTTTCTTGCCTTTGTTTCCCCATGGACTCCCAAGCTCTTGGACATGCAGAGCTGTCCTTTCCCTCACCCTCCGGCAGGGCGTGGGGAAGCCCCTCCAAAATCAGAGACCCCAGAGCAGCAAAGCCCCTCTGCTTCGGGCTGTAGCACCAAGCCCTGCAAGAGACAGATCCTGTAGGATTTGCTGCTGCAGCCTGGGGCCCTTGGAGCCCTTCCCCTTCCAGCCAGGGCTGGGGTAGGCAGGTTTTCAGGGATAGCTGCTCCATGGCATGGCAGGCAGGCTGGTAAGAAGCTGGGCAGCCTTGCCTGTGACATTGACCTGGTTTCCAGTGAAAGAGTCAATGAAATCTACACATCCTGCAAAACACCCTGGGTTGGTTCAATCAGCCTTTTTCTAGTGAAAACCATTTCTTCAGAAAGCCTTCCTCTATTGCAAAATCATTTATTTCTTCTGCTGTAGAGTTCTTTGAGAAGCAGCCAATACTGAGCTGCTCTGAAAGGCTGTTCAGATTTCCTGGCGTGGCCCAAACTCTGGTTCCTCTGAATCAAGCAGGGAGGGGAAAACTAATAACAATGTGATCCACTTCTACAAATGCTAGCTTGAAACCACCTCCCTTTAAGATGACTGGTATATCAAATGCATGACGAAGAATTTGCCAGGGAGAATAATACAGCTTTGATTATCCCAGTTGCGTGCCTGAAGCACTTCTAGCCAACCATTGTAAAAGAGAAAATATGCTTTGGTGCAGACAAATAGACAGAATTTAAAAAAAAAAAAAAGTCTTGGAAGCCATAAGCTAATGAGGGGGTGGCATTGGGAGGTATTCATGGACTCAATGCAGTTAAAAGCTTGGTCTTTTCCAACTGCAGAGTAAAATAATTACTTTTTTAAAAACTACTTCCATAAAAGAAGTTACTGAGGTTAGTCTGTGTCTGCTCCCTGTAGTTTGCTGTATCTCATTAGGTGGATCATTCTGAACGGGAAGATCCACTTTGCAATCTACAGGATTAGACTGTTCCAGGATGTCACATTATTATAACTGGCTCTGTGCTTCAGCAAAATGAGCTCCTGAGTTGAGAGATCCTAAGTGATCAACACAAGATAAAGTAAACCCTTGTAATAGATGTATTCTTTGTTTTCTTTGAGGGCCCAGTGAAGAAATGAAAGAACTATTATATATCATCATGAGAAAATACCTCTCTGAAGGTGCTGTCAGCCATTGAGACAGAAATGCCTTCTTAAAAATCCGTAGAAAAAAATATTTCATCCTAGAAATTAAAAAAAGGGCTTCAAGGTGAGCCTAGTCCTAAGCTTCTAGCATCAGGGAGTGTGAATTATTCTTTTCCCCAACATTTGCTCCGCAGCAAAATAGCATTTGCTAAAGTGGGAGCCCTACTGAAGGGGTGTCAGTCAACTCACTGTGCAGCAACTAGATAAACTGAAGGCAAAGAAGGAGCAGTGTGAAACACCTTAGGTGGAAGGAGACCTTTTTGAGGTGAAACAATAGACAATAGTGAAAAATGGAGACCAAGTATGCAGGAAAGCTCTGAGCAGCAGTTTTCAGGTCTTGGAACAGATGTGATGGCAAACTGGAGATTGGTAGCTGGAAGAAAAGCATTAGCTTCTGAGGAAGGAAGATTTGTCAAGCCCTCTCAGATCAGGAGTTGCATTCAGTCTTAAATCAGAGGCTTTGGTCTGCCCGCTACCCCTGTCCTAAACCTACAGCACGGCAGCTTTTCCACCCTTGGTGCCTGCTGAGAGCCTGAACTTGCCATGAAACAAAGGGGAGAGGAAAGTTCCTCTGAAAGCCTCCAAATCAAGAGGGCCTGTGGGAAAGACCTAACCTTTTGAGCCTCCAAAGAAATCTGTGAGTCTGAACACTGTAGCCACATTGCTCTGCTTGCACCCATTCAACCACCCTTGTGATTTAGCACTGAAAAGCCCGTGTGGTGTGAATGCATACCTTGCCTTTCTGCTGCCCAGGTAGGGAAATGTTCCTTTTGAACCTTACACATCGTGCTTGTTATTTATTCTAAGCTATGAGACATAGAAATAAACAGGCATTTCTCAGCTGTAACAGATTGAACATGTTCATATACAGATAAAATTAGTGCAGGAGTTAAATGCTTTTTCTGTGCAAAAGCGACTTTGCTGAGGTCATACTGTCAGCTCCATTTTGCTATTATGATTTTGGGGCTTTGAAAAACATTCTCTGTGTTGCTATGATGGAATTATCATGTTCTGTGTGTTATTATGATATACCATTGCACAGGAACAACAGAGCCAGAAGCATTTCTGTAATGCTTTAAGCAAAGCATACTGAAGGCAAACTGCACTGGTTGCAAACCAATCTCAAAGTAGATATCATCTGAAATTCTGCAGACGGTGTAGTGTCCCTACACCCAAGTTTTAGCTACTCTTCTAACCTCTAGTCCATCAAAATCACTATTAATAAACTAAACTTTAATAATGTTTAAACTGATTACCAATGCCATCATTGCTGATACCTTTTAAATTTCAGGAAGAACTCAGAGATTATCGTACGTAGACTGCAGGCTCGCTCAATAAGCAATGCTTCTTGTTGCAAGCATGACAGATGGATACTAAGGATGTGCAAAACGTAAAGCAGAGCCTAACAGCTGAGCTGCTGAAAAAACAAACGCTGTTTCCTCGGGTTAATGCTTTGCTAGAAGTCCAAAGTGTGGGGTTCCTTTTAGCTGGGCGATTCCTAAATACACTTACACCTCCTAAATACAGAATTGCATATTGTCCACTCAAGGAGTATTCAGATTAAATATTATCTAACAGATTTCCTTATTGGATCAAGCTATAGACCAAGGCCCTTTCAGTCCTAGAATATCAGGTTCAGGTTTCCCTTGTTC